TGCTTGCTTGCTTGCTTGCTTGCTTCCTTGTTTGGTTTCGTCTCTGCAACGAAAACAACAGGAAAAGCAAATACAAAAAGAGAAAGGAGAACAGCTGCCAAAAAGAAAGAAAGAAAGAAAGATAGATAAATAGATTGGTATAGACAGATAGATGGATAGGCCAAAAAGCCAAAAGCCACAGAAGCCACGAAAGCCACGAAAGCCAAAAGCCACAAAAGCCAGAAGCCACAAAAGCCAAAAGCCACCAAAAGCCAAAAGCCAAGAGAAGCCACCAAAGGCCAACAAAGAAACAAAAGCCAAAAGCCACCAAAAGCCAACAAAGAAACAAAAGCCAAAAGCCAAAAGCCACCAGCAAAAACAAAAAAATACAAAAAGAAAACAAAAAAACAATCCAAAAATAAATACCCCTCCCTTTCAGAAACTCTGTGAAGAAGTGCATCTGCAGGAGTAACACAAAGTAAAGTAAATGTCTTTGGCCGAGGGAAGACTCGTTGAAACATGTTGAAACTAGGTGCGATCCATTCAAGCCAATCCACTCCCATGCCAATACACTAAATCCTTGCGAAATACTGCGAAAGCAAGATCACAACGACCTAAAGCGCCAGCATTCTCGATGCATTAAACGTATTACAATTTGCAGATCTTGTAAATACTTAGACATAGTGATGACAGAGTGATACCTAACAAATCACCAATAGGAGCAAGGACGCTACTAGGGGCTCCTGCCCTTACTACTAGGAGCTCCTGGCATCGCTACAAGGAGCAAGGACGCTAAGAAAAAGAACGGTCTAAGTGCATCGCTTCTAGTAACAAGTGCCTTACTAGTAGTAACAAGAAGCTATTAGGAACAAATAGCTAGGGCCGAAGCCCGAGGGATTTGGCAATGGGTGCAATGCCCTGACGAGCTGGTCGACCAAAAAGGTATTGTGTTCCTCGGATCTCTCCTTCGCAACGGGGCATCAGAAAAAGGGTTGGCAGGGTTGGCAGTTGCCTCCAATTTGGCCTGTGACTTTGCTTCTGAGCTCAGACATGAGTCTCCCTCCTTGGATGCTAGAATATCTATGACCCCTTCATTCAATTACCTAGGTGATCTCAGCACATCTAAGCATTACTCTTGCAAGTCTTTATTCCAATGTGCAATTCCAAATCTAGTGTGGCAATGTGCACGGTTGTCGTTTCAGATCCTTTGATTGGTCGTAGCTTGTACTCCACCTTGTCGGCAATGAAGTATTGTCCCTTGGTCTCTCCATGTGTTTCATCAGGCGCTCTCCAGAACTTGCAGCCTGCACCGTACCTCTCGAGTCAGTTCATCCAATGGTCACTCCATTCCATGTGTAGTTATGGCGCACAAAGGTAGAGTATGTGCCGTCTCCAAAAGGGTCCTTTTCTTGAACTCCTGAGAAACAGCACAGCCACTGTCAACTCTACCACGATGCAAAAAAACGCGGTTCTCCTATGTTCTCCTGATGTTCAAACATACCGTCTTTGCACTGACAAAAGTTCACTCAACAAATGTAATGATACAAGATGTGGGCTTGACAAGTCCCATGGTACGCTGATCCCAAGAGCAGGATTTAGACAATGCAGCATTCCGGTCTAGCTTGGAGTCAACGTTTCAAAACTTGACTAGATCAAACATGATCAGAGTGTTGGAGTCTTGTCACCGTGTGGATGGCTCTTGGAGCACAAGTTGACAAGCCAGCAAACCTTGAGGCAGAACTCCGCAAACAGGCGGTAGTTGAGGTGCTCCGGTTTGGGCCATCTTTTTCCTTGACATGCTAAGATCCAAACTGTGAACTGGTGCTCTGTGAAGCTAGATTTGCTACGAAACTGATGATGTTTTAGTACTTATTTCTTCTGCGTAGTAAAAGGATTTCAACAAAAGGACGCGGGAACACTTGACATTGTAATGAATTGGCACCAAGATTCTATATACATCCCGTTTCAACTTCTTAAAATTTGGCGTGCAACCAGCCCACCTGAGGGGCAAGTGAGATGGTACATGAGAAAACCCAACAAACAGCACAGAAAACAACGCCAAATTCTTTCATCTGTGACAGGAAGGTGAACACTTGCTCGGCTGAGGTGAAAAATATCCGAGTTTTAAAATGTTTCACGGTGGCAAAGTATGGGAGGCCTGACGATTGTCCTGCTAAGCCCAGGTTTGCGTGCATGCTGGCCAATGGTGGTGTATAGTTTCGGACGCATGACTTCCTGTCATCTTGCCACAAGCTCGGTGCAGCGCCAAAACAGTATCTCTTCAGCAGTAGCAGTCTTGTAAGCAAACATATACAATGTGGAGTTGAGGTCAAGACCAAAAACAAACATAATAAAATGAGAAGAACAAATTGGATACACTTCTTGTAACAACAAGGTCCACCAAAAACTGCCAGTCCTTCTTCTGCCACCACCAACGACCGTGTTTCTCGTCGTATTCTTGGGAATTGTGTGCCCCATAGGGCGGATGTTCCTTGTTCTTCCAATTGTTGACAAAGTCGCCGTCTCTCGTGTGCCACCTCGAGAAACAAAAAACACGTCGACTCTGACTCTGGACTCGCCTACCAACCAGCGGCTGGACATCCACAACCCAAGACTTTCCAAATCTTCAACATTGCTGTAGAAAGACCTGGTTCATCACGACAGCCCTGTAAGCAAAAAATAACCAATTTTTCCCCTGGTTAATATGCAAACATAAGCTGGGAACATCCAAGCAAGCATTGCTTTCCAAGCATGATCCAGTTCAACTACTTTTCCGTGCGACGCCGAGTCTTCACACCTTGCGCGACCGTTGGTTGGGTCCGGTGCAGGCTCCCCGTACCTCGGTCTTCGCGAGGCCTTCTTTGGGCAAGCTGGACATGTAGACAGCATTAGAAAGCAATTTACCTTTCAGTTGGAGGCCATCTATATTGGAGTGGAGGCCATCGCTACTAGGTTGGAGGCCATCTATATTAGATTGGAGGGCATCGCTATTCGTGGCAATGGTTTCCCACTGCCCGAAAAATATTAACAAAAGCCAAGGCCTGCGCTTTTTCTCCACGCATCTGCATCAAGCGTAGGCGTGTGTTGGTGGAAACTGTGTTCCTGTCTGTTTGTGAGTCACGTGAGACACTTTTGCAACAGCTGGTTTTGTTGTTCCTGGTCACTGCCTGTTTCTGGTCACGGTCCCACACAGTTAAGTGTTGGCCTCTCACTAGCGCAGGGGCCATTGTGACCTGGGCCGGTCACGGCATTCTTGTGAAGTAGGAACCAAGCGCTCAAGCTACATTCATTGTGGATAACTCGGACAGCAAATGTTGGAAAGAATATTGTACCCTCTTCCGCACAAAATACGAAACGCGTTCTCTTCTCATATGCATGAATCCACCAGAAGGTATCATATTCAAGGAGGTACCAAGAGCGAACCAAGAGAGCATATAGAAAGTACCTTTATTCATACCCGGTATGCGTGTCAGTGACCACCAGAAGGAAAACGTGCGTCTCCACTTTCACTGACGCGTTGGCAACCCACCCCTAGCTCCCGATGGAAGCATTGCGCCGACCGAGTAAAGTTTGAAACACTAAAGAAGGTCTTCAATGAAAACCTTGGTTTTTGCGCCTTCCGCTTCCGCGCTGCAGCAGACGTCGCAGGCGCCGGCGCCACCTCTGTCCATTTGTT